TCAGATTTGCCGGCTCGAGTTTTTGATTGTCTTCCCCCAAGTTCAATGTAAACTCCATGTGGACAGGCACTCGTTTCATTCTCTGTGGTATCCCTAGGATCTGGCGCATTGTGTCAGTAAACGTTGAATGAATGAGTTGAAAATACAGACATCTGGGTAGGGGGCACCTATTGGATGATCCGTGTGGCAGAAATTTGCTTGCAGAATACAGCCCTCCCCCGACCATGGGTCACCCCAGGCTGGGCCAGTGAGCCCCTTCATACCTCCAGTGCGTCCTATCTGAGTTTTTGTTCGCAGGGGCCTGGGAGTTGGGGGCTCCAGGGAGCCAGCAGATGAAGCGGGCGCACAGTGATGAAAGGAAGGGCTTCTGGGTCCCTTTTGCTCCCTAAGTCCACACCTAACATCCGGCTGCTTTTCTGACCTTAAATTCCATGAGAGACCCCCGGAATCCTACCGCCACCTAAGCCAGTTTGAATCGACCCCCTCCTTGTGCCGGTCGGCTTCGGAGCCCCTTGAGGTCTGAGACCCCGGGCTGCCCACCCCCGTGCTGCCAAAGCCTCGCGCTCAGGGTGGCTGTCGCAGGCATGGGTTCCTGCAGCTGCTAAGCTGTTCTTGTGAAACCACTGAGTCTGGAACATGGTTCTAGATTAGATTGCCCTTTGACCTTCTAGTTTTCGGACCGGCCCCCTTCTAGGTTTTGGTCCTCCCCTTGGTGCCCACGCCGACCCAGTGACCCCTGAGGAGCCCCGCTCTTCATTCACTCTGGAGGGCCGGCCTCACTCCGCAGGCTTGCGTCCCAGACGCCTGCCCCCACAGGGACAGCCAGAACCGGGGCCAAACAGAAAGTCCCTGCAGTCCTGTTCCCATTTCAGAAGAGGAATTGCGCCCCAGCTGCAGTGGCTTCAGAGTGGCCATTTCCCCTTTAAATGATTCCAATACACAAATCTCAGCCTGCCAGGCCTCCCTTCAATGGCAGAGGAAGGCGGGGGGGGGGCGGGGTGAGGCCGCTGGGTACCAGGCCTCCCTTCCCTCCCAGGGCTGGGCCTTTCATTAGAGCGGCTCTGTGCTCTATGAGACCTTTGCTTTCATTGGATCAAAGGTCCCATGGCTGGCAGGTACGTTCAGAAAGCGCTGCCCCAGAGAAGAGCTGCACAGCTGGGCTGCCCAGCCAGCTGGACTCTTGTTTGGGGGAAAGTGTGGGCTTGGCCGGCTGGACGACCTGGGCCCTTCCCTGGGCCTCAGCTTCCTCGTCACGCTGGGGAAGGCAGGCGTGGCCCTGTGAGAGACAGCCCCCTCGTGTTCCTGCAGTTTTCAGGGCGATGAGCAGAGGGTCCGACAGGAAGTGGGCATCATGTGGGGGAGGAGCCACGGAGAGCTCCCAGCGGATTACAAATAGGCGGTCGGATCTCAGCTTTACCTGGCCTGTCACAAACTGGCCCAGGCACAAATTTGCAGGACCCCAAAAGTGTGTAATTCCCCCATCCCCATTTTCCTTAGTAACAGAAGGCATACCTGGCCAGCTTGTGCCTGGTAAATGCCCGGTGGAAGCTAACCTTGGTTGGCTTTGGTCACCTCACGCTTCCTCTCTTTGTCTCTATGGTACTACCGAGTTCTTCAGACTGTAAGATGCACAGGACCATAAGACACACCTAGGTTTTAGAGGAGGAAAATAGGAAAAAAATTGGAAGCAAAAAATGTGGTAAAATACTTAATAACATAGGCCACCGCCCCCCATGCCCCCCCACAGTGAGCACGGCAAGCTACATTAGGACTATAAGATGCACCCCCCCTTTCCTCCCAGATTTGGGGGTGCATCTTATAGTCCAAAAAATGTGGTACTTTCTGAGGACTGATCTCGCCACTGGTGTGAACAGCTCCCCAGTCCACTGCCCGCCCGGGTGCAGCAGAGGAGCGGCATGCCACCGGACGGACCGCTGTGCAAGCACCGCTGGGCAGGCCCTGGTGACAGCTGCCGTGGTGAGACCGTGTGGCACATAGGTGACCCTTAGGCGTGTGCCCATACAGGCAGACCTCGCATGTGCTGTAGGTCAGGTTCCAGACCACGGTAACACAGCAAGTCACACGAATTTGGGGGATTCCCTAGTGCATGTAAAAGTTTACACTCTACTGTAGTCTGATACAGGGTGCAACCAAGAGGGGGACCCCAAAAAGGGATTTGGAATGGGGTCCAGAACTCAAGGTGTCCAGGAAATATTAGAAAGGCATACACAATGTCCTCCCCGCTTCCCCCTCAGGTGGGAGTCGGGGGAAGGGACACACGGAGCAGGAACATGCAGGGCTGTTTGTACAGCCACAGCTTTACAGCTAAACTCTGGCGTGGCCATTTAACACATCTGTAACCCTTAACTGGCTGCATAGATATGTTAAATAGCTGTGGCCATGCTCTGAGACCGGGGGATGGAAGGGACTTCCCCCCAAGATGTAACTGGGGGGCAGGTCCCCTGAGTTACAGCACCTGTGCGAGAACTTGAAGAAGATTGGCTCCATGACATGGGGCCACCCCTGCCCAGACTCACGATGGCAGCCCAGTGACCTTGGAATAATACAGGGATGCTGGCAGGTGTAACTGATTGTAGGAGGAGTCGGAAATGGGGGCACAGAGGAAGACTGGCGCGGGGATTTAAACCCAGACTCGGCAGCCATTGAAGAGAGAGCCATGCGGTTTCGCCAGAGTGGGGACCCCCACAGCTTTAGTGGGGGGAACCACCATGCGGCTTTAGCAGAGAACCGCCACTCGGCTTTGGCAGAGTGGTGACCCGCGCCCCCTCCCTGCAGCTTTGATGGAGAGAGGAACCCTGCAGTTTTGGCCAGAGTGGGGACCTCTGCAGCTTTGGTGAAAGGAGAACCACATTGCTTTGGGGTACATCCTTTGGCCGCGTGGCCTGGGAAGCAAGAGAGACTTTGCCTGAAAGAAGGGTGAAAGGACTCTTGCCAGTAGGCCACGAGAAGGTGCCACATGGCTTTGGGTTAATTGGAGATCCTGCCTGGATCGAGACACAGCTGACGGTGCCAGCAGCCTGAAACACGAACATTTGCTGCTTTTCCTGAGTTACGGCACCCCGAATTAGGGCAGGGGGAGAAGGAAGCACTGTGGGTGGCTGTGGGTATCCTAAAGGACTTTGATATTTTAATGAAGACATTAGGTCACTACTTTAAGTCTGTATAGCACTCAATAAACATTTCCTTTCCTTTTCACAAATCTCTGGCATTGGGAGACGTCTTTCCTATGAGGCGGCGGACATAACAAACCCAGGGGGTTCCTTTCGGTAATAGTATAACGTCCACACTCCCCTCGGCCCCTTTGCTCTGTAACACCTAAAGTGTGCAATAGCATTATGTCTAAAAAACACACCCTGGCTGGTGTGGCTCGGCTGGAGTGCCGTCCTGTACACTGAAAGGTCGCGGGTTCGGTCCCCAGTCAGGGTGCGTGCAAGAGGCAAATTGATATTTTTTCTCTCACATCAATGTTTCCCTCTCTTTCTCCCGCCCTCCCCTCTGTCTCTAAAGCTAATAAGCATGTCCTCGGGTGAGGATAAATAGATAAATAACAATGTCTTAGTTTAGAAATCCTTCACTGCCAAAAAAAATATGCCGCCCGTCATCGGAGCCTCCAGCAAATTGCAACCTTTTGGAGGCTCTGGCCTCCCTGCTGGTGCTGCTGACCTGTCAGGGGGTCGGTTGCTGAAGGTGGAGGCGGCTGTGGCAGCGTCTTCAAATAAGACAACACCGATTCTTTTCACGAACGATCCCTCAAAGGTCACTGGTCACAGAGCACCACGACAGACACAACAGCGAGAAGGTCTGAACTCTTGCCAGAATTGCCAGACACGGAGACGAGACGTGAGCAAATGGCACAGAGAGACCTGTCCCCTGCAGGGTCGCCACACGGTTGGTAACCGTGGTAACACACACAGAAACACAAGCGCACTAACCGAAACCCCCTCCTCAGTGTATCTGGGAAGTGCCATAAACCGAGGTGCAATGACGCAGGGTGCCCTAAAGCAGGGTACAAGAAAGCGAGGTAGGTCAGTACAGGGACCCCACGCAGTGGGGCTGCATTTTTCCCGTTGAAACGAGCTGTGTGCACGGCAGCCCACTAGCTGCTCCCCACTGTCTGAGCCCCGCCTGCGGCCAGGCATGGCTCCTTTCTCCAGAGCTCTGCACCCCGAGGCTGCCCAGCCTTTGCCTGTGCACCGCTCTGGGCCTGGGCTGCGCCCCCAGCCCGCCCTACCTGTCATCTCGAGTGCCACTTCCCCTTGGAAGACTCCCCTGACACCCCCTCCCCCACCCAGGTCTGGTTAAGGGCCCCTCCCTGGCTCACCACAGGGTGCCTCTGTCATCACACAGAGTGTCATTGTGGTCTGTTTTTTTGACAGCTTCCCCACCCGACTGAGAGCTGCAGGAGGGCGGGAGTCTGAAATTGCTCCGCTCTGGATCTGGGCGCATCCAGCCCGGGGCACCCCGCTGGCCCGAACGAACAAGTTGGAAAAGAAAAGGAGCAGGCCTTGCCCCCGTGCACTTGGCAGTCTGAGTCCGCAGGGAGGTGCTTGGCTGCGGCCAGAGGGACCCCCTGTTCACAAAGAAGGGCCCCATCAGGTTCGCAAGGTTCAGGGGGGCCTATGTTGAATACCCCCGCTGCCTTCCTGGGCCAAAAGCGACTCCTGCCCTCTTGCATCTTTTACTCCCTTCCAGGGTGGGGTCCCTTGTCACCACCGCCCTCCTCAGCTGTGGTGTAATGCTGCGGCCTTCCTCTGCTGGGTCCCCTCGACCGCTGCTCCCCAGATTTCCACGTGGCCCTCTGTGTTTTCATGGTTACCGGAACACAAGCATGACATCAGGCCCCACGGGCCCCTGCCTCCCACCCCTACCCAGGGCAGGCAGTTCACAGTGTTACCGGAGCTGTCACAAACAAGGAGGTATGGGCCGTCACGTGGCCCTGAGCAACCACATTCTCGCTTCCTTTTTTCACACTCAGCCGTTGGGCGTTGGCAGGGTCTAGGACCACGGCAGGGGCTGCCACAGCAGGGCCCTGCAGTGTGGGCTGGGTCCTTGTCGCTAAAACAGAGAAGCCACTTCTCTTGGGACCACAAGGCAACTGTCCCATGCTCTACTGAGCACGGTAAGTGCTGGCTGGCTTCTAAAACCACAGGGAGTGGCTGGGGGTACCCCAGGGGCCAGCAGTCCTGCCTGGCAGCTGAGGGCAGGTGGGGGCAGGCCCTGAGCTGTGCCCCTGGGGAGGGAGGGCAACCCAAAAGTCAGGGGCCTTGGGACCAAGGTCTCCCTGGAGTGCCTGGCCTCGTTCTGCTGTCTCCACTGAGGCTTCCTCCCCTCCACTGCCATCTGCCCTCATGGCTTGGAGATATTCTGAATTCAAAAAATTGGAGAAATGGGGAGCGTTTCCCTAAAACCCATCCTACCCCCCGCTTCCACGGGTAGGATACCGGGGCCCAGACAGTGAAGGGGTTTGCTCAGGCGCAGAGCTGGGGCTGGGCCCGGGCGACTCCTAGGAGGACTGCAGGCTCCGTCCGTGAAAACATCGTCTCCACAGCTGCCTCCTTCGTGCTGTTTCATGTTTGTTTATTTTTTTAATCCTCACCCGAGGATATGTGTCTTGGTTCTAGAGAGAGAGGGAGGCAGAGAGAGAGAGAGGCATCGATGTGAGAGAGAAACCTTGACCTTGGCCTTGTGTATGCGCCCCGACCACACACGGACCTCTGGTGCGCGGCACGGTGCTCCAGCCAGCAGAGCCAGCTGGCCGGGGCTCTTTGCGCTTTTTTTGTTTTGCATAAGATCGAGGAAACGACATGTGTTCCTAACCAATGATTAAAATATTAGAATTAGGATACTATTGCTAGCAAAAACTAATTACAATACTCTTAATGTGTATGGGGGTGCTTCAGGGGCAAAAAGGAAAATGGGGGGGGTGTGGCTGGTGGCCCAAGCAGTGCCCCCTGCGCGCACACACCATAGACGAGGGTCAGGGCCCCGGTTACCTGGGATCCTCCTCCTTCCTGCCCGGACCCTTCGGCTTGCTTCCCCCTCCTGCCTCTGGCTTCGAGTTCCCCAGGCCAAGCCTCTCCAAGCCCCCGGGCAGGGAGCTCAGGAAGTGGCTCCCGGGCCTCGGGCCCCAGGAATGGCTTACTCAGGGTGTTCCCTGCGCTGGCCACACCGTAAGTGGCAAATGCCACCTCCCAGGCTTGACCGGCAGCCTCGGGAGAGTGAAACCCGGATGTGGGGAGGGTTGGGCGGCCGGGCTCCTGGCCGCGCCTCCTGGGAACCTCGGCCCAGCCAGAGCAGACCGAGGCTCAGAGGGGACAAGCTGCTGCTTGGGTCATAGGGCCGCCCCCCCACCCCAGCGAGCTGGCAGTTCACGCAGAGCCCTTAGCCTGGGCCCCACACGGGGTCGACGCTCCGCACACACTGGCAGGGTCCGGCAGGGGTGAGTCCTGCTTGAGTGCGGTCGGCAGGGTGGTAACGCGGGTGGGATACTCTGTAGTGTGAATTTGGACATGTCACCTGAAGTGTCATGGGCGTGACTGAGTGCGCTATTGCTATGTGACAGAATTACACGCTTATGATGTTGTAATAAAAAAGGGGTGTTGTTTGTGTGTGATTTACGAGCCAGAGGAGGCTGAGGTTGTACCCTGCCCCCCAGGGCTTCCTCCTGGCCCTCCCTGACCGACAAGGTCAGACTTGTATCAAAGCTGTCCCAGGGCGGGGGACTTTTCAGGGACGCGGCCCTAAATGCAGAATGACAATGAGAAGAGCTGGCCTTTATTGAGCACTTACTATGTGCTGAATGGGCAACCTGACCTGCTCACTTGAACCCCCAACCCCATACGGGGCAAGTGCTACCATTGCCCCCGTGTTCCAGCCAGGAACCCGGGGCTCAGAGAGGTGAGTTCAGTCGCCTGAGGTCACACAGCTTGTGAACCACAGGGCCGGGACTGGATCTGGTTTGATGCTGGGTTTGACCCCAAGTTGGGCTAGGCCCCGTCCTGTCTGAGAAGACGTAGACCTGCACTAGGATTGGGGGTCTGGTGGCGGGGGGCGTCACCGGGGCCTCGGTTTGACCGGCTTGGGGATGTGGAGCCTTCCCCGCTCCTGAAGCTGCTCAGCCAGCACCCCGGGAGGCTCAGTCTTTCGGATCCTAAGGTTCCTAGAACTTGAACTTTGGGACTCCCGGGGTCCAAGGTTCTGAATGGGAGGTCCCGAGTGCCTAGGAGTCTCATGGGTGTCTTTCCTGAGCCCAGGGTGGCTGCACAGAGCGGGTGCCTGGAGCTCGGGTGTGGGCCCCCCAGCGGGCTGCGCACCCCCCCTGAGTCCAGCCTTATTTTAGGGCGAAAGATAGGAAATAGGCAGAGTCTGGCCTCCTCCCTTGGGTGAGTAGAAGACGAAAAAGGCGCGACAGCTCCCTGCCCCCGACTCGGAGCCCCACCCAGCCCTCCTGCAGTGTGTGGCTGTCTTCCTGCCAGCTGTGGACGGACGGACAGACAGACAGACAGGTGGGACGAGGGGCCTGGAGGAAGTGACTCAGAGCCTCGCTTTCCTAATCTGCGTAATGGGCATCCCCGCAGCCAGGGTGCAGTGAAGAGGGAGGAGGTCCCCTCAGGCGATGAGGGGACGGCAGAGCCCCCCACCCCCACCCCGTGCAGCGAGGGCTTCGTAATACAGCTTTTGTTGTGTTACACCAGCTTTACTTCAGCAAACGTTCGAGCCACCGCCCGACGTTTCTGCCCCTCTCCTTGCTCCCTGCGTGGCCCCCGGACCCACAGGACCTCTGGGAGCCGGTGTCCCTCCCATTCCATGGGCTGGGGCTGGCCCAGCCTCCGCCTGGGGTGGCCCCTTCCCTCTGAAGCCTGCGGGACGGCACAGCAGGCCCCAGGGTGGGGGGAGCAGCTGCCCAGCTTGCCTGGGCCCGAGGGGCGTGGGGGCTGGGGCCAGGGATCCCCAGGGCTCACGGCGGGGACATCCAGGACAAGAAGGTCGCCCTACCCGGGCCCAGGCAAGGAGATGCGGGCTTGCCTTTCTTCCAAAATTCCTCACCCGGGGACATGTCCACTGACTTCAGAGAGAGAGGAAGGGGCGGGGGGAAAGGAACATCGATGCGAGGGAAACGTCGATTGCGTGTCTCCTGTACGTACTCAAGAGCAGGGACCGGACCTGCAACCTGGGTACCTGCCCTGACTGGGAATCGAACCCACAGCCTTTCAGGACACGGGATGACGCTCCAACCAGCTGAGCCACCGGGCCAGGGCCCCTGCACTCGTCTGTTTTCTCTGCTGGCGGGGGAGGTCTTGGCTCTCACACAGGACCCTGAAGCTTCCCTGACTCCTTGTGGGGGAGGGGAGGTTGCCACCTCTGTACCCTCCCTGGGTGCACCTGCCCCTGCTCCTCTGCCCACAGGCCCAGAGAGAGCCCCCCCAAACAAAATACGCCCTACTGGATGCCAGCCCCGGGGACCTTCGCCGCAGCAGCTCATCCCATTCTCGTGACCATTCTTTGAAACAGTTGTACCTGTTCTACAGGTGAGGAAACTGAGGCTCAGAGACTGTGAAGTGACCTGCTCAGGTCACACAGCTGCTAAGAGGTGTCCCCCACCCCCCACAACTCTGCATGCAGGGGACGGTGGGGATGGGGGCAGGGTGCAGGGCCCCCCTTGGGAACAGACCCCGGCCCCTCCATGGTGTCCTCCCAGCGGCCAGCCTGCAGAAAGAGGGGTTCCCGGCTCTCTCGGAGGGCTCTCCCCACCCCGGAGCTGGTGGGTTGGGCCTTGAGTGTTTGCCCCGCTCGCTCCGCCCCCAGGAAGTGACTGACAGCCCAGCCTTCCAGGAACCAAGAACTGTGTGAGTGGGGGTGGTGGGGGTGAGCCTTTTCATAAGTAGGAAGCAAGGCTCTGAGCTGCTGGCTTCCCCCTGAATTCCTCCGCCCTGGGAAAGTGGGGCCAAGGTTAGGCCATATGCTCTTCCCCCAAGGAGGAACTCCGCCCCCGGAAGGCGGGTCAAGGAGGCAAATAACATGTGTGCACGTGTATGTGCGCATGTGTGTGCAACACATGTATGAAGCACCTAGTGTGCGCCTGGAACTTTTGAATCCACGTCACCTCACTGCATTCTCTCAATAGCCCCATGAGACAGGGACTGTTGGTGGCTCCCATTGTACAGATGAGGAAACTGAGGCCCAGAAAGGCAAAGATCGGTGTGAAGGTCATCCTGCCTGTAAAAGGCTCAGCCAGGACTCAACAGCCTTTCCGTGGGACCCCGTAGTCTGTGTCCCCACCCCTGTGCCCTGCACGGCGCCCAGTACATAGGGAGCTGGCCCTCAAGGCCCTCCTTATCCCTACTCTGCCCTCCCCCTCTCAGCTGGGTTCCCAGCACTCGCCGCAAACACAGCGAGCTATGCTCTCCGCCCAGCCTTCGCTCCGTCCGCCCCCGACAGCCTTCCTGTATCCTCCCTGGGTTCAAAGCCGAGCTCTGCCGCTCTCCAGCTGTGTGTCTTTGGGCAAATTGCTTTACCTCTCTGAGTCTCATCCCTCCTCAGTAAAATGAGGATACCGGTAATTGCAAGGGCCAGCCGTGTCTGATGCAAAGATCAAGAAGTTTGGTTTAAGAAATTATTTTAAGATATGTCCAGACTGGCATTTTAGAAACCAATGTAATTCTCACCAACAGGCGCAGGAGGTCGGGTTGAGGCTGGAAGCTGAGGGAACTGTGGGTAAGTCACAGTTACTCAGGGAGTGCTAAGCAGCTGCTCCTCGCGCTGCAGGGAAGGGGCTGGAAATCATCCCAGCTCACCCTGCCCCAGGCGCTGTGGCAGGGGTGGCACACGGCGGGAGGGTCCTATGTCCAGGGACCCAGAAATACCCGAAGCCCACCCTGGAGCGCAGCTATCTCCCTCTAAGGCAAGATCCTGAATCGCACAAACCCCAGCCGGGGCCGGGGAGTGTGGGGAGAGAGAAACCAAGGATGCACGAGCGGTCACAATGCCAAGGGGAAAGACCAGGGAGCTGGCCCGGAGCAGAGGCGCTGCCCTTTCGGGCTGCCTGGTCTGGAGGCTGGAGGCAATGCCAGGATGCGCAGTGACCTGCCCACAGGCCAGCGAGGGGACCGTCAGCTCCCCGAGGGCAGGGCTGGTCAGCGAAGGTTTTTCTCTGGCCCCGGAGAGCACAGCGGATGGCTCTGGGCCCTGGGGGACTTACGGAGTAGGGTTTCCGAAAGCATCGAAGTAGCTGCCCTTGGCTGGGGCTCGTGGTATTACCTCATTTCAGCCTCACAACAGCCCCTGAGGTGGGGGCTGCCGTCCCCACGGTGGACGTGAGGACACGGCCAAGAGGGCCCAGACCCAGCAGAGACGCTGAGAAGGATGTGAAAAACTGAGCATCTGAGGGGCAGGCCAGGGCCACACGGGTCGGGGGCCAGGACCGGGGGAGGTGGAGCAGAGGGGCCAGGGTCAGACCCCAAGAGGCCTCCGGAGTCCAAACAGGCAGCTTCATCCTGAAGACCTGCGGTCTCCAAAATCTTTTGCTCATGGACGCCGTCAGCGGATGAGTCCTTGCGTCTGTTTATAAATCGCACACAGGTGCTACTCTGTTCACGTTATGTTATGAATGCATACACACATAAAAATTAAGAACGGGTGCCATAAAAGTTCACATGGCTAGAAGGGCTAGTATTGTCCGCCTGCACCCCAGTGGACTGTCTTGCCCACAAATAAAAAGCTTTCGTCGAGAACGGTAGGGAGGGGAGCGGTGTCTGTGCACCGCAGAGAGGCGGTGGAAGCTCCCCCACGTGGATTCATTCCTGTTGATAAACGGTAGCAGCTGCTGTTTGCTCAGGGCCTGCTGTGCGCCGGGCACGGGCTTTGCTGTGAGGGTGCCTAACGTCACGTGTCTGCCCAGCTGCGGTCATCCAGAACTGCAGTCGGGGGCGCTCAGCAAGCCCAGGGGTCAAGGTCCTGATGTCCCCTCTGTCTGTGTCTCCCTCCAGGTGCCATGCCTCTGCAACTCCTCCTACTGCTGACCCTGTTGGGCCCTGGCAGCAGCCTCCAAGCGTGGGACACCTGGGAGGATGCGGCCAAAGAAGCCCCAGACCACCTGTTTGCCCGGGCCCGGAGGCAGGTGGACCCTGGGGACGATGGCTTTGACGTGTACGAAGAGTCCTATAACACAGACCCTCCAGAGATGCTTGGAAATGATGGCACAGAGGCTGTGACCCTGAGCCCCAACCTCCAGGCTGCGACGGGACTACTGGGGCAGAGAGATTCTGCAGGGCCTGGTACTCCTGAGCCGGCCCCTCTGGGGGTGGTCAGAGGCGACTCTACTGGCCCGGATGCGAGAGGGGCAACCATCAGGGACCTCGGCACGGAGTTTGTGACAGCGGGGATTCCCATCACGCCAATCTTTCTGCCCCAAAAGCTGGTCACTTCAATCCCTCCCATCACGGAGGCTTCATCTACACAGGGGGCTTCATCCACACAGGGGGCTCCATCCACAGAGCTGGCCTCCGTGAGTGCCCTGTTCATGGGGCCAGCTGCCACGGAGGCTGCGACCACACAACCCGAGGCCATGGAGGCACTGTCCACCCAACCCGCGGTCATGGAGGCCCTGTCCACCCAACCCGCGGTCATGGAGGCCCTGTCCACCCAACCTGCGGTCATGGAGGCCCTGTCCACCCAACCCGCGGCCATGGAGGCCCTGTCCACACAACCCGTGGCCATGGAGGCCCTGTCCACCCAACCTGCGGTCATGGAGGCACTGTCCACAGAACCCTCAGTCATGGAGGCACTGTCCACAGAACCCTCAGTCATGGAGGCACTGTCCACAGAACCCTCAGTCATGGAGGCACTGTCCACCCAACCTGTGGCCACAGAGGCCCTGACCACAGCGCTAGCTGCCATGGAGGCACTGTCCACAGCATTAGCTGCCACAGAGGCCCCTGACACGGAGGCCCCTTCCACAGAGCCGGCTGCCACGGAGACCCTGCCCAAGGACCCAGCCACCATGAAGGCCCCATCCACACAACCTGCTACCCCACGGGACCTAACCACAGCCCATCCTGTGCCCTCTGACCCCCCCGGGGGCCCCGCCATGGCAGTCAGCACTCCGTCTGGTGGCTCCATCAAACAGCAGGAACACAGCCAGGCGCTCTCCCCCCGGAGCCCCGTGTCCTCCAGCCCCACCAGCGGCCTGGACTACGTCCCGGTGAAGCACTGCCTGCTGGCCATCCTTGTGCTGGCCCTGGTGGCCACCACCTTCCTCGTGTGCACCGTGGTGCTGGCCGTCCGCCTTTCCCGCAAGAACCACATGTACCCCGTGCGCAACTACTCGCCCACCGAGATGGTCTGCATCTCGGCCCTGCTGCCCGAGGGGGAGGAGGGGCCCGCGGTCACCGCCAACGGCAGCCTGCCCGCCACCAAGAAGCCAGGCCGAAAGGAAGGGTCCGGGGAGGACCGCGAAGGGGACGACCTCACCCTGCACAGCTTTCTCCCTTAGCTCCCCTGCCCAACCGCTGGAGCGGGACCCCTGTCTCCCTGCTCCCGCCACTGCCCTCCTGGCCACTGCCGAGCACCAGGCTTGGGCCATGCGTCTGGGCTTCGAGGAAGTCCCCCAGGGGTAAGGACCTCTAGGGCAGAACCTCTGGCCACTCCCCCAGGCCGGAGGGCAGCCGTGGTTTCCCCTTCCTCCTGGCTGCTGGAGCCTCTCTCTCCTGAACCCAGGGAAGACTCTGGCCCTGCCCTCGCCCCACCGCTGCTGCCCCCTGGTGGCCATGTTCGTCATGCATTTTGGGGACAGGTACTGAGCAGTGCTGGGTTCCCGAGGCCACTTCCTGCTGCTGCCCCACGGGAGGGCGGCTTGAATTTTCCCAGATACTCCTCCCCAGAGCCCAGGGTGCGGCCTTGCCCTGGAAGGCTGGGGCAGGGTTGGCGAGCCGAAGGCTACACACTTTTCTGACGCTGTGCGGACCGGCAAACGTCCTTCTCATGACAGAGTGACGGCCTTCCTGCCCTCTCTTGCCTGCCCCTGTGTCCGACTGCAGGGCGGGCTCTGTCATTTAAAGTGTGGGGCCAACAGACTTTTCTTAAAGGGCCAGGCAGGAAACGTTTTAGGTGTTGTGGGCCACATGGTCTCTGTTGCAACTTCTCCACCCTGTTTGCATCACATGAATGCAGCGATGGTAATATGTCATGAATAAATGTGTTTGGCTGAGTTCTAATAAAACTTTATTTATAAACAGGTGGCTGGCTGAATGAGTCTCTGTAAGTTTGTGGACCTGTGATTTGATTTAAGCGCAGGGTAACCAGAGGTGCCAGCTTGCCTGAGGCTTTTCTGATTTTGGCCCTGGAAGTCCCACATCGTGGGAAAACGCAGCCCCAGCAAATCAGGGCAGTTGGCTGCCCTCTTTACGTGGCCCTTACCGTGCCGTGCATCGCGGCTCTGGAAGCCCACCTTGATCCTGAGGGTCGGAGCAGAAAGCCAAGGCTCACCGAGGTGAGGCCACCGGCCCCCAACAGTGGCTGAGCGGGGACTCAAGCTCTCGATCCCCTGCCTCCAAGGGCCTTGCAGCCTTCTTCCTACAGGAAGACTCCCGCCCCCACCCACCCACCCACCTGCTGTGCAAAGGGCGTACTGGTCTACCTTCCAGAAGAGGAATAACATTCCTCTCCGGAGACTTTTCTCCTGTAGAAAAAATGTCTCCAGTGGCCTCTGTGGGAGCAAAGGACCCCTCCACTCCAGGATATAACCTGCAAAGGGAGATTTCAGAGAGAGGCTTGAGTCTGGGGGTGCTGGCCGCCACTCATAGAGGGGCCTTGGAGGGAAACGGGAGGGCTGGGGAAGGCAGGAGGGGGAGTGGCGGGCAGCAGAGCCAGTGGGAGGAGGAGGAATGCCTGTCCCCCCCACCCCAGGCCCCGGCCCCACCCTAAGCCTCTAGAACCAGCGTGAAACGGAGGGAAGATATGTTCAAGGCACTCTGGTGGGAGAGGGGTGTCCGCTCTGGTCTGGGGCCGCCTGCCCATGAGAAGCACGGCTGACAGCTGACGCGTTAGGAGCGACGCGGCACTCACTGCCACCGCGGGAGCGACCCGAAAAATCAGCTGGGGGACCATCATGGGGTTGGGGACTTGGGGGAACATCTGTGCAGTTCTGCCGGGGTCCTGTTACCCCATCCTTCCGGCCACGGAGCAGGTTTCTCTTTGTCCTAGGGGTCCTGGAATGCCTGAATCTCTACCCGTTTCTCCAGGTGTAGAATTTGTCAGTCAGTGACGACAGGTGCTTAAAGCAGCCACCAGGGGGCGCGCGGCACCAGCTCTTGGCGCCTTTGGCAGCCTGGCGCCTCCCCCGGTTCCAGCGTTGGAGGATGAAGGAGACCGGACGGTAGGGGCTGCGAACCCAGCGGGGCGCAGGCAAAGGCTTAGCAACCGGCTTCCGTGGTGGATTAGCACCCAAGCCATGATGTGTAGTGCCTGCCAGTTGCCTTGGTGCAAAATACCCCATGGCCGATTTTGAGCAACGAGCCCTTGGTGTGGTAGATGATACAATGTGAGTAAACGATCGGAACAGCGTAGGCAAGAGTCAAATGTAGTGAGATAAGCAGGAAGTGATGAGGTCTGAGTGCTGCGGACCTTGGTTTTCAGTGTAATATGATCTAACTTACGACACAACGGGCTCCCCAAATGCTGAACATTCGACTCTCAGCTCTCCGAGTCCGGCCGGCTCCTGCTCACACACCGCTGTCCCTTCCTCCGGCCCTGGCCTCCCGCTGCACCCGAATCGCCCACTTACCCCGTCCAGCAAACACAGCCGGAGTGCACACACCTGCGACATGCCCCCAGTCCCCGCAACCAGCCTGGGAAGGAGACACCGGCACCACCCCCCCGCCCCCCCCACTTCACAGCAGAGAAAGCTGAGAGAAGCCACCTGACCCAGGTCACGCGTGAAGATCGGGGGCCCAGGCCTGAATCCGGACGCCACGCTCTCACCACTACATCACCCCGTCCTTGAGATCACAGTGGGGTCCTGGGGGAATCCCGTGTCCCAGACTCTCATCCCTGCTGACCAGCCCTGGCTCCCGGAAGTCCCCATCCGTCACCCTTTGTGGCTCCTGGCTGCTAAAGGGAAGACAGCGGCACTTGGGAGGGTGACGAAGTGAAACACAGCCGCCCTCCTTGCCGAGAGCAGGACACAGCAGAGCTGGGGCCTAGGACTCAGGGAGATGGCGGGGGACAAGGAGCTGGCCTTTCCTAGGCGGTGACTGCATGCCCGGCCCCGTGCCGGCCCCTGCCTCACGAAAACCCCGTGACGTGGGACAGTCATGGTACCCCGTTTTACTGCAGGGGGCTGAGGTGCAGAAAGCTGGACGCTCGCTCCACCAGGACACCCCGAGGAGCAAGCAGACTCTGCCGACCTCAGCTCTGACGACGACGGGGAAGGAAGGCGGGCAGACAGGAAGTGGGCAGGGGGTGGCATGCTAAGTTTGTTCCGGGCCCTCACTCTTCCGCGCTCAGGCTGGCTCACTCAGCCGCCGATCTGGACACAGTTTCCCCAAACTCGTCCTCCATAGCCCACCCCCGCAGGCACTCAGCCGAGCCCCTAACTCGATGGCTGCGGCGTGCCCACGCTGTGCCAGGCCCCGTGCCGGGTCCTCGGATGCCAGGAGAGCAGACCGGGGCTGGCGATGCCCTTCAGGGGCCCATGAGTCTCGAGGGGGAGCGGGAGGAAGCACATGATCGCCCAGACTGTGGCTGGGCCCAGCGTCCAGAAGCGTGGGGCTGGGGGCTCTGCGTGGGTGCGATGTGGCCAGACCTTGGGGGTGGGGTGTGGAGGGGCCAGGAGAAGGTCTGAGACTTGAAAGAGGCGGAGTTGTGGACTTGGGCGGGACGATAACGTGGCGGAGGGTGTTTGAGGCACGGAGAGCAGCTTGGAGAGCGGGAGGTGCACGGGGGCACGGACCAGGCCTGGCGGGCTGCCGGGAGGAGGGCGAGGCTGCGTGAAGATGAGGGGGGCCCGGGCCAGAGGGGGGGTGCAAAGAATGCGCAGAATCGAGAGAGAATTGGGAAGGGCCAGAACCTCTGTGTGTGAGGCACCTCGAGTGAACTCGGGGTCCAAACAGGGCTGACCTTGAGGACATGCGTACGACATGCCGCTCCGCCCCCCACCTTGGCGGGCACGGGTGGGCGGGGCGCTGATCTCTGGGGCTCTGGGGGGCACGGCCCACCCAGCCTCTCACAGACGGTTGTTCAGCAGCTGAAAACGGTGTGTTTCCAGGAGAACGTGGAGGAACGCCACCGTGTGATGCTAACTGAACTGGGCCTCCGTGTCCTCCTCTGTGACATGGGGTCATAGGGGCGTCACTTCGTAGGGGCGTTGGCAGGGTCAACGAGACAGGGCCCAGGAAACTCTGGGCCCAGGGCTGAGTGCTCAGCCGGCCGGAGCTACGGTGGCGCGAGGACCACCAGATGCCGAGAAAAGACGGGAAGGAAGTGCGCGGAGCTGTTGAGAGGCCAGCCACGGCGTGCAGGGTTGCTCCTTTCAACGTGCCTGTCTTCTCCTGGTGCCCCCCTCCCCCGAGGACGGAACGAAACCATACGTGTTAGGAAGTCTGGGGGTCCCGGCCTCCCCGGCGGCTGAGTAGAGCCACCTTGCTATGGCCACTAATGTCCACACGGGGCTCTGAGCCGGCGGTCCTCACCCAGAGGGCGGGGGTTGGGCCCCCAGGGGACGTTCGGCAGTGTGCAGAGATCCTTCGGGTTGTTTCTGCCGTGGGAAGGGCTTGGGCTTCTAGTAGGCAGCTGCGGATGCTGCCAGACCCCCCATAGGGCACCGGACAGCCCCCCACATCACAGGGGCGCCTGGTCCCACAGTCAGCGGTGCTGCTCCTGCCGCTCAGCACCGAGAGCCCCGCAGAGCTCCCCTCCTCGAAGCTTTCTGGGAACCCAGAGCGGCTTCTGTGTGGCCATGGGCTTGGTTGTGGAGTGTCTGTCCTCTTGGTGGGTGGGAGGCTGTACCCGTAGCCGCCCCAGCTCTTGCCACCCAGAGCCCCGCGGAGCCGGCACCCTTGTGACCACGGTTGGCCGGACCAGGCTGCTGCCACTGAGCCCTGTAGCGGGACTGACGTGGTGCTGCTTTGGCCATGAAAGGAGAGGAGGACCCTGTGGCAGGAGACCAGGGCACCGAGGTGGCACCGACACAGTCCTCTGTCCCGGGCTCGTGGACCCTGTCGGTGCGGGGCCAGGGGGTCATGTGCAAGTGAGCCACGTGCCACCCCAGCCTCAGCCCTGCGGGCTGCGCCCTGCTCTCTAGGAGGAGTTCTTTCAGGAGACGCTGTTGTCCTGACTCGAGTCCAGCCTTCGGGCCCCCAAGAGGGACAGGCTTCAGGCGATTTCCCCCAGAGTTTCAGCAGCGCCTTGGCCAACGAGCCGGTGCAATAGGACGGGGGTCCCCTCATCCCGCCAGCCAGAGCTCCTGGCCCCAACTCCTGCCCCGCTCAGACCCCCACGTCTCCTGTGGGCAAACGTGATGGTTGGGTGAGGGAAGGGCAGCTCCGCCACCTCTCACTTTCCCTCCGCTCTGGCCCCGTGACCGTCTGGCTCATCTTCTCCACGGGCTCCTGCCCCAGGACCTTGGCACTCGCTGTCCCTGCTGCCTGGTCCTCTCTTCCCAGACGTCCGCATGGCCGGCACCTTCTCACCCCTGCGGTCTCCCCTTGAATGTCACCCCCTCGGAGAGGCCCCCTCTGCAGCCCGGCCCCCGGCACCCTTCACAGCTCTGCCCTGGTGACGGTCAGTGGTGACGCCGTGGACGCCCTGAGTCTTGCTACGCAGGCGATGGGCCTCTGTCTGTCCCCGTGTTCGCTCTTCTGTTGTCCCCGCACGCGGCCTGGCGCACCGCCGGGCTCAGGAAACCCTGACTGGATGGACACGTGCTGGGGAGGCTTGGCAAGGGCAGGGGACCGACAAAATCTACGTGCGGGGCTCGGAGCTCCAGGGGACCTTGCGGCCAAGGCTTGGAGGGGGGCAGGCCTGGTTCGACCCCCCCCCCACCCCCGCCTGCCAGCTCCCACACCTGTGAAAGGGGGGGCAGCGTCCTCGCTCCTCCTGGGGCTGTGGGAGGGTGGAGCGAGCACCCCCCTTCCAGTGGCCGGCACGCTGCAACTGCCCAGCGGGTGCCCATCCTGGGGGGGACAGGCCTTGGCCACGTGGGGCAGGCGTGGACCCGCTGAGGGGCCGCCGAGGCTC